AAAAAAAAAAAAAAAATTTGGTAGAAAATTATACCAATCAAATACACTTAATTAACAATTCTCTGGAAAACAATTTCTAGACAATTACTTCCCTTGGAATTCATTTTTTTCCACCCATTTTCCACCCTTATAATTAAACGAACAATTCGAGAAATTTATACAATGATGAAATAGTCCATTGACAAAAAAATTATTTAAAGGGTAACATATAGAGCTATGCTAGTTGTACAATTGAGGTTGACAACTTCGATTAACTACCACTCACATGAGGGTCCACTTTTTTTATTTGAATTTTTTAAACATGCGGACCCCGCCATACATGTGAGAGGTTGTCAATCAAGCTTGTACAAATAGAATTTTCCTAACAGATACGCCTTCAGAGAATGATTATAATTTAGATGGTAGTTGTAATCAACGAATAAATTAAATGGATGGTCACTGAAATTTATTATTGGTTATCATTTGCTCATCGAAAAATAAATGGCTACCAAATGTTCACTCAACTATTCATTTCTTTACCCATCCATCATTAAGCTCAAATCCATTTGTATAGTCGACAATAAGTAGTCTTTAAGAGTTGAACCCTTAAAATCAACTCTAAAAAAATTGATGTAAATGTGCTTGACACAAAAAACGTTGTTTTGCTTTAGGATACAAATTCTCTCTCATATTTTATAGACATTTTTGTCCATCAGTCATAAAAGCCTAATCATTACTGTTCAATATCTTCAAATCTTCACCAAGATGTTGTACAACCACCTTCAAGTAGTAGCATTTTCTCTCTCTCCAATATTGCATATGCTACTGGGTAGATACAATCATTAGCATCTAATGCCACAGCTTCCAAGTGTTTGACCTCCAAACGTCCCTTTTAAGTAACATCCATCTAATCTCAAAAGTTGTCTGTTAGAAAGCCTCTTTTACAAGCTTCTAAGCAAATATATATACCTTGAAACTTTAATCCATGCATGGCAACTATGCAAGCATGTAGACCTAGGAGTAGTTCTCAGAATTTCAAATGCAAAAGATCTAAGCAAACGAATTAGTGCTCATCAGATCCCTCCATCAATAACCTAGCGTATCTTCTAGTCCTCCATAATGTAACTTTATTAATCGTCAACTTCAAATCATCGTTTACAGCCTTCATAATTAGTTTAGACTTCCAATTCATGTCAACTTTGAAAGTTTCTAAATAACTGTTTGTTATATACATTGCAAAGCAATGTCTATTGGTTCTATCTCTTATGCATGTATGCTTTGAATTTTTTGACTTTATTTGCATACATATCTTCTTGTGGAAAGGTTGTGACCTTGGCACCGGAGGGACTAAAGTAGCGTGGGAGAAACTTTGTATGCCTAAGAAGGAGGGTGGTTTGGGTTTGCGGAGCATAGAGATTTGGAATAAGACTGCTATGTTAAAACACCTTTGGTCCATTTGTACGAATTCTGCCTCTTCTGTTTGGGTTTCGTGGGCACGAAGTTACTTATTTAAAGGCCGAAGCATTTGGGAATTGAAGTGTCCTGGGGATTGCTCTTGGAGCTAGAGGAAGATTCTTGCACTTCGAGAGATAGGGAAGGACAAAAAAAAATTTATAATTGGTAACGGTAGACGTGCTTCTCTTTGGTTTGATAATTGGCATCCTCTTGACCCTTTACAGAAGATTCTTGATGAGACGATCATTCATGAATCTAGATTGAGTAGATTAGCTAAGGTGGCTGATATTGTTGAGGGTGATAGTTGGAGGTGGCCATCAGCTCGTTCCCCAGTGTTGTCTGATCTAATGCGAGATACACTTGATACTTTTCTGCCGGATAGTACTAGAGAGGATGTCTTGTGCTGGGTGGATGATGTGCATGGAGTCTTCTCTGTTCGGAGTGCTTGGGAGTCTATACGACATCGTTGCCCTAGGGTGACTTGGTATCACATTGTATGGTTTCCTAAGTATATTCCCCGTCATGCATTTATCCTTTGGCTAGCAATTCAGGGTGGCCTTTATACACAGACAAAGTTGTTTCGCTTTGGTTTGGTACAGTCTATACGTTGTGTGATGTGTGGATATTCGGATGAGGACTTGGATCATCTTTTCTTTGCTTACCCATTTTCTGAGCGTGTTTGGCATGCTTTGTATGCAAAATCTAACATGCCTTGGGTTCAACGGAGTTGGTCAGATACTCTTTCTTGGATGGAGCAGTTTCGTGGGAGGTCATTGCGGTCCATTGTTATTCGTTTGATGTTTGCGGCTTCGATTTATTTTATTTGGCGTGAGCGTAATGCTAGGGTCCGTGGTGTGATTCCTAAACATGAATCTGTTGTTATTAGAGATATTATTTTTTCTGTTTGTACACGAGTGGATTTATGTAGAGGCTTGGTCCCATCTAGTGAGAATAGATGGCTCCAACGTTCATGGGGTTTTTCTGCGAATATTTTCTATTGTCGTGACTAGGTTATAAGCTCTAATCTAGGTTATTGTTTTTGGTGCTAGGAGGACGTATATTCCTAGACTTATTTTTCTGGGGTATGCCCCAATGATCATGTACTTTATTTTTGCACTTTGAATATAATATACTTACCTTATCCAAAAAAAACACTTACATTCAATAGGTATCTCTTACTCTTCCTCTATCATGTTGTTTGCATTGCAACATTCTACAGGTATCAAACATGTCTTAAATGAATCATGGACAACAAAAATGTCTCTTCAGCCAAAGTGTACATAACCCGAACAACAATCACGTGTTCATTGGACAAGAAGTAGCCATTCGACAAAATCACGACAGGTCTTCCGCATTCATAGTATAAAATTAAAGAATCCATAAAAAAATTATATAAAATTCACCTTTTTGTGGTTCCTCCACTGTCTGAAAAAGTGCTTCCTCCATAACTACATTTCCTTCGATTTCTGTACTTCTTGGATCCCCTATGTTCCTTACATCCACGACAAGAATCTTTCTCTGTCTTGTGGCCAATTTTTAATTGAATTGATTAATGAGAAAAATCTAGGGTTTGCACTAATTTGAAATAAACCGTACACAATATAAATTTCAATTAAATTGGATGTAGATATAGAACTTCTTGGGAATTGATTACAAAGCTGGGTCACCAATTAAATTAGTTAGAAGATGTGATTTCAAGATGAAGGTGATTTGCGAATGAAAATTTCGATTTCTTAGAATTTTCATTTTGCCTGTCCAGAAAACGGTCTCTCTAAATATACGATTTTAGCTATTTAGAAAATAATAATTTTAGATGATGTGGACATGATTCATCATCCACATCACTTTTTTATATCCAATGGAATTTATCGTCCAGCTGTACAGACGGATTTGAGCCTAGTGATTGATGGGTAAATTAATGAATAGTTGAGTGAGTATTCGATAATCATTTATTTTTCGATGAGCAAATGGTAACCAATAGTAAAATTCAGCGAGTATCCATTTAATTTACTCATCTATCAACTGTTTCTTCTAAAAAAAATGTCTTTCGACCATCATAGCATTAGATAATTAATTTATGACAAAATGAAAAATTATCCCAAATGTCGAACATGCATTGCAAAAAATTAGGAACGCATTTCTAATTACTATAAACCTGCAGGTACATGCTTTTTTGACAGAATTTGAACAAGGTGCTGATGTGGCAGCGCTCTACTAGCCTTTTTCTTTTTTTTTTGTTCTTCCAATGAAAACTTTCCAAGTGTATTTTCGGTTGATTTTTTCCCTACATATAGTGCTGTTCTTCTAATTAACAGAAGAGGGCAGAAGTAGCAAACATTTCCATATGATTATTCTCAAATATGGTGACAAATCTTACAGTCAGACTCTGGACTACCTTTAGGATGTACCACTAAAGCTAATCTCCATGCCTCTTCCACCAATACCCGCAATCAAACATTGGAACCCGCACGATTCTAACTCTGAGATTACTTTGTCAACAACTGTTCCTGATAGTACTGAGTCGTGCAGTCAAGAATGAACGTGATTGAAGTAATTTATCCACAGTTTGATGTTCATTTTTTTGAAAAAATGATAATTTGAATAGTGATTTTTTTGAAGGATGTGTAGTTAAAAAGTGGCAAAATATTTTCTTGTGTAACAGTGTGGTTGAAAATGATAATGAGAATTAAAATATTTTGTTTTAAAAGGAGACAAACGAGGGCTTAAGCAGCAAAAGGCATATATGCAGCAGAGAAAGGAACAATAACGAAATAGTCCACCTGTTTGAGCCCTATTTTTGAGGGAAATTTGCTTTCAAATAATGATTTTTTGGAGTATGCATGGTTAAAAAATAGTGAAACTTTTGGGTCTACGTGTAAAATTATTTTATGGAAAAATGTGTGATTGAAAATGAGTTTTGAAAACAACGGGGCTCAAACAGGGCAGTATGTGAAGAAAGAAAATAAGCAGAATAACCAAGAGGATACGGTCTGGTAGCAGTGTCAAAACGCAGCCTCCACCACCAGCTCCTGTTAATTTGGACGATAGCTTGTATTTCAATGTTGATTGAAGCACGGTTTCTATAGATGCATGGCTGACACCCATGCATCGGAGCAACCCCTGATTCATCTCCATCAGTTCTTCTAATTTTTCCTCTTTCTCGGTTATGGCAAGATCATCTGTAACCGGTGACTGGATAATGGAAGCCAACTCACAGCTGATGGAATCAACTGCGGAAAATACAGAAGCCATAGCTTTGGGATGCCTTATTGTCCTTTCAGAAACGCCAGCTACCAGCGCTTTCGTATTTCTCCCTACTTTTGTGTTAGTTATGAGCATTTTAAGTGGCATATTTGTCTTGATGCGTGTCAATTCACCAGACCTAAATTTGATCATGTTGCCTGTTGCATAAACTTCATTAGCTTTAACTGAAGCAATGTGTGACTCCCAGGATCATTGTTTTCAAGAAAGTTTAGTACTTAGCGGAGGTACAAGGACGTTCAGAAAGGCCAAAGCCCTGAGAAGCCCATTAAGGAAAGAACAATGAAAAGATTTTGAAATCGAGTTCTCCCTTCCCTATGATTTTGATTTTCAACACCCTATTACGATTGAATGACTTCTCATGCTAGTTATAACTCTAAAATATTAACTCAACACTATAAATCTCTTTAAGTCGTGCACTTCTGATAAAAAGTATAGCCAAACAGTAATTATGCTGGCACTATGAGTGGTTGAACTCTTTGAGACGACTCTGTCATGTTTGCAAAAAATAAAGCAATGTGTGACTCCCAGGATTCTCTCTCTAGGGAAACCCAACTATTTTATTTGTTTCCTTAACCGTTCTTTCATCTAAACAAGATGAAATGAACTGAGAACCCCATAAAAAAATAATAATAATAAAAGGAATGTGGATCTCCACTAGGAATCATCCACACCTATAAAAACTCAAACTATTCTTCTCTCTGTTGATCATCGCCACATGCTAGTAATTGGATTACATACCGTATGTGCTCACTGTGTTGTCTATCCCAGATGGCTTCCCATGCATTATTTTTTCACCTTCAAAGGCCCATTTATTTACTAGATCCAGCTCACTATCTCCAAACATTTGCCATCCCTGGTGGCTAAAATCAAGTGTCACGGAATCAGATAGAGCAAGTAGAGCAGCTGAAAATGCAACACATAAGGCAGCAGATGAACCCAAGCCAGAGCCCAGAGGCAGCTCAGAAGTGACCACTGTTTTAGCAGGTTTATACCTGATCAAGCAAAAAAATAAACATATCAGATTTACAACACAAATTACACACCCATGAATGAAATTCAAATTACTCACCCATGAATGGACGTGTATAGCCACAGAAAAGTTGAAACACCCGAAGCAAGTCCACTTTTTGCTTCAGGAATGTTCTGTTCTTCAACTAGAGCAGCAATTGCTTTGGTGGTCTCTAATGAACATGATGAGGGAGAGGAAGTAGCATGGCTACCAAGATCAGGGAGAACTTCTTTAATTCTTCCAACTGGCCAAGAAAACTCCAAGTCCATATCCTTGAGATGAAGTTTTAGTGTATCATCATTATCTGATCTCCGAAAGAATACCCGAAAGTGGAGGGAGAAATTAGAGACATCATATTAGAAAAGCTCAACATATTAAAAAAAAAAAAATTATGATGAAAATGCATAAAGAATCATGTCTACCAATCAATATTATTCACGTCAAGAACTATATTATTTTATTATCTAAAAAAAATTAAGTGACGAAACAAGGGCATTTAGTATACACTTGTTTAACTGGAAAACAAATAATTCAATATAAACTGATTAAGTAGTAGACTCAATCTCCAGATATTCCATTTGAATTCCAAATTCTCATGAAGTTCGTTTTCCTGCATTATAATTGGTCTAATAAGAGGATCATGACAAGATCAGCTAAATTTTGAATTGATTTTTGTGCATTCTAGGCTAATGTTTATAAACCGTTTACTATCAGTGAAACCACTTTATCCACACATTTTATGGGATCCCCAAGTAATACCCACTTATTCAGCATTGCTTCCTATCTATTACAATTTAAACGGTTTACAAACACTTCTCAAACAAGTCCATTTTATTTGTACATTGTGGGATTTGGAAAATTTTGTGAAGTTCAAGGAGTTACCAACACAGGTCATTTATTTTAATTGCATATAAATTATTCCAATTCATCAGAATCTACTACGAATAGCAGAGATGTATCCACACAAAACCCAATTGCTAGAATTCATTAAGGGAAGAAGTAATTGCAGATGAAATATTCTAATCAATCAGATTATCAGAAACCAAATACTAATCACAAAAATGTGTCCAGAAAATCCAATTGCTAGAATTCATTACGCCAAGATAAATTCCAGTATAATTAATCAGAATCAAATACGAATAGCAAAATCTTATCCAGACAAAACCTAATAGCTACAATTCATAAAAGAAAGAGAAGATTGCAGATAAAATATTCAAGTTAATCAGAATCAAATATGAAAATAAAAAATGTATCCACACTAAACCCAATTGCTAGAATTCATAAAGGGAGATATAAAATTCCAGATAAAATACTCAAGTTAATCAGAATCAACTACTGATAGCAAAGATGTATCCACACAAAATCCAATTGTTAGAATTCAAAAGGAGAAGAGAAAATTGCACATAAAATATTCAAACTATCAGAATCCAACAGGAAACGAAAAACTTGACAATCAAAATGAACAGTGGGAGCTGAGAAATTCAGAACTAAGGTAAGATACCAGAAGGCGTGGGGAAACCAAGAGTGACGTAAGTGTAGAGATCGATTGCGGCAGCCACAGCAGTGGATCCGTGAACAACTGCATGTTCACCTGCTAGTATAATTTTTCCGGGTGCTCTGGCACTGACCTCCATTTCTCGGAAAGAAAAATGCAGAATCTTCACCCGATAAAACCGATCCCGTTGTGAACTATAAACTCGAGTCTCTGTGTGTATATATATGATGGTGGTATATATTTGAGTGTGTTAAAGCGATTGCTTTGACAGTGAAGCGGTGGGCGAGTCCTACTTGGTGACTGAGGTTGGTGGCGGAGAATTTCATACGGTGGAGACTGTAGTCTGTGCTGAATCAACTTTTTGATGCTTGATTTTCGTTGTTTTTAGTTTATTGTAATTTGTTCGCCACCCGCATTAATCGCGCGTAACAAACTGCTCAGTTCAACTTTAGTCCTAGTGAATTTTTTGAAATTGTGTAATTAAAAAAGTAAGAAAAAATTTTGGATTTACGTTTAAAATTGATGCTGGAAAGATGGGAGGTTAGATCAGATAACGTTCTGATTAACGAAATTAGTCTAGATATCGTTTTAGAAGACGAAAGAACAAAACAATTTCTAAAATTCAAGTAATATTATTCATTAAACCCCACGAAAATCGCTAAAAGGTCTTTATATAGGCATTATAAGAACTCTTAAAAGCAGAAAATATCATAACACGCCAAAAATAGAGGAAAATCAAAACGAATTATACTAAAAATAACAATTTAAAGGCTTAAATGAAGGAATTTGACTAAAATCCCAAGATCTCGACCTCCGCCACAAGCCCAATTTTTCGGGCCTTTTCCAATCAGACCACTAAATTTCAGCACATTCCGACGCAGTCACGATAAATGATTAAAATACCCCAGCGCTGGCTGGACCCGTCCTACATCAAAAATATTTTGTTATTTGAATATGTGGTTGAAAATGGGTATATTGAAAAAAGAATTTTGAAAAAAATGAGAGAAACACGGGGCTTAATTTACATTTTATTTCTAAATATGTTTATTAATTAAAAAAATTTAGACATTTTGGCTCCATTTATTTTGGAATTTTTTTTTCAAATTAATTTTTAATCATATATTTATAACTTAAATTGTTCCAATTAGCAAAATGGTTATCGAGAAACAGTTTTACTACACTTACATCTTGGTTGACAATTTTGTTCACATCCCATGATGTGGCCTACAATTTTGCCATTGATTTGAACAACACTTAAAATAATCAATGGCCATAATTTTTACACATTATGGAATGTCAACCGGTATGTACAAATAGAATGTACGAGTAGCTTAATCTATCGAGAAAAGCCCACGTGTAAATAAATTTCCTTTGCTTGGTATATTAAGACTCCATATGAAGTTCTGCTATATGGCTCTGGGGGGTTTGAGCACAAATAAGAGTATGTATTTGATATCGTTTAGCATCATATTGCCATTCGATATATAGAAGCCAAGCCTATCAAAATGCTGCATTGAGACATCCTCGACCACATGAAATCCGTTAAAAAGCAACAAGATAATCTCTCGATCCAATGGTAAAAATCTCTCACGAATAAAATCTCGTTTTAAATCTCTCTACAAATCCATCGAGGCCTCCATGCTCCATAAGAAATCCCTATGGCTCGAGGTGATGCAGGGGCACGATTAGCTAAACGTTCTTGTTGTGCATGTTCAGATTTGTTGTCCTTATGTTTCCTCGTAACTTAGCTCGTGTTTGATGGTCATTATTTTCAAAAAATAATATTTTTGAATAATGATTTTTAGAATAATGTGTGGTTAAAAGGTATGAATTTTTTTTTAATTTACGTGTAGAATATTTTATTGTGTAATTAAAAATGATTATGCAAAAAAATAGTGTTCAAATGATAGTTGCGAAACGAGGCTTATGGTCTTTGACTAATTCATTTGTTTATAAATCTAACATATTAAGCCTCTATTTGATTCGTAAAATATTTATTTATTGTCAAACTTTCATTTTCAGTAATACATTTTAATGAATTCACGAGTATTATATACTACATATTTCTATCTGTTTATAAATTAAATCGTTTATAATTTTTTTCCAAATGGAGATGTAGTTTGATTTATTACTTTTGATCAGATCGATCTGTTGTGGTCATTTTTTTTTGGAAAAAAAAACATTGTTTTGGATAGTGAATTTTCGAAGAACGTGTTGTTAAAAAGTAGGAAAAAATTGAATTTACTTGTAGAATATTTTATTACGTGAATATATAATTAAAAATTAATATATGTAAAAAAAAAAAAATTGAAAGAGTGAAAGACAAATAAAAACATAATTAGCTTACAAGATATGGCAAATTCTAGACGTAGATGCACGAAGCATAGACGCGCATTGAAGATTGTTGGGCCCACGGGAGAAGAATAACTGACTGAATTAAAAATTAAGAAGTCTAATTTTCACCAAACCTTCATTGAATATACTCTAATTCAATGTATTTGACAATAAATAAAGTCGTCTTAAATTATTTATTATCACCATTAATGATACTAGTCACAACTAAACGTGTATTGCACGTTATTTTGAAGAATAATGATATTCATCCTCACTGTGGATGAAAACACAGTTTACGTGGCGTCAATGTGGCATTAAATGATATGTGAAATTAAATAAGTCATTTAATTTCACCTTTCATTTAACCTATCATTTAAAGTTACTCTATTTTGAAATGTTTTATAAACACTGTAAAAATGATATTTGAAAATTAGTGAATATAAAAAATAGTCAAAAAATTTGCTTATATGAAATGAATTTTTTATACAATTCAATTATTTATTTACATCTATGATAATAATTAACATTAATTTTTATATATCATACTATAGTTCAATCAATTAATTCTTCAAATACATGCATGTACACTTTATATATTTTTGGGGTTGTTCAATTATTCTAGAAATACTACAATTCAATTATTTATGTATGTACATGTATATTTATTTATGGATATATTAAATATAACATTAAGTTATCAAATTCATGTACACATGTTTTGGGAGCTATTTAATTATTTTAGGAATAAATAAATTAGAGTAATGTTATTCATTCCCTGGGGTTACAAACACAATTTAGGTGGCCCTAAATGATAGGTTAAATGAAATATGAAATTTTAATTTCACATTTTAAG